TTTTCCAGCATGGGACCAAACTCCCCAGTTCAAAGTCTTTGTCTTCCAGATGCCCTCCAGGTGTTGAGATGGAGGAGGGAGAGGCCATGTGATGATGTCACTACCTCTCTTGAAGATCTTTGCTGTGATGTGTGTTAGTCCGCCCCCATGGCATACGTGCATTCACCGAGAAGTCTCTGGGATACTGGATTGGGTGTTGATGAGCCATTAATCCTGTCTGGCTATTGATGGATTCTCCTTTGTTATAACTGAAAGCTGGTTGTGGGTGTTTCAACTTTACAACATATTTCAGTAATACAATAGCAATACTACATCACTTCACATATAATAACACACACAATCCAACAGGATATTAATTTTCATCGGATCAAGACTTTTAAAATGATACTTCACAAGGTATACTTTGTACAAAACATATTATAATAAGAGTGGTGAATATGGGGGTTCTAGGGTGCTACATTGTGGTACAGAGTATCACAATATTGATGTTTATTTTTAAGCATTTTTTTATTTTTGTCAATTTAAATTTTCATAGTTATGGGAAATTATGGGGAGGTCAGACAATTATTTAATGACAGTACAAATTGAGATTCAAAAAGTTAAAGCTTACAACTATTGAAATACAAATTGTCATCACATGTCAAAATATACAAAGTAAATATCACTTAAGAACTCATTAGAGTTTGATTTATGTAGCATTTTTCTTATGATGCCTATTTGCATATTTTGATTATTATCGATGGAAATGTGTTTTCATTGGTTTGTGTGTGTACAATGAAATTAATCTTTACTGGCACTTACTGATAAACATCTAATTCTTCCAGCCCCACACATATATAAGATTGTGGGCGTGGAAAAAACTGTATGGCATTTGAGACCTAATAAGGGGGAAGCTTGCGCAATAATTTATATTTTGTAATTTCCTGCTGCTTTCTGAGCTGTAACATTTTCAAAATATATGGTTTTTGATATTTTGAATTAAAGAATTATTAGTGTTCCTATTTCTTACCAAACTTAAGTGAAACAGTTAAGCTTCCGCGAAAGCAATATCAACAATATCTCCTTGACAAACGGAGGCAAAGGACTTGGGTATCCTCTTTCTCAGGGTAGGTCTATACTATTGAGACTATATTAGCATAACTCCATGGTGTTGATGCAGCCTACACCAACAGAACGGGTTTTTCTGTCAGTGTAGGGACACCACCTCCCCAAATGAAGTTAGCTATGTCAACCCTCTTCTATCAGCATAGCAGTATTTACACTGTGGGTTGTGTAAGCATAACTATATCAGTCAGGGCTGTGTTTTTTCACACTTTTTAGTGTAGACTAGGCCTCAGTCCTGGACGGTGTCTTTTCTTCAGCTTCAACACCTATGTGTGTTGCCATTGTACTTTGTGATCCATGTCACTTCAGGGGCTTGCATGCTTTAAGATCAGTGGTTGGAAATGGAAGAAAAGAAAAGCACATAACAGTTCTTCGAATGGCCTGCATGTTATATAGAGTTGCTTCTGTTATTTCTTTTCAGTGTCATGTGGAAGTTTTGGAAAATCAGTGACAATTCCGCCAGGCCCATCGAGAGAAATTTGGGAGCCCGGTACATCATGTTCACCAGGGCCCTAACCCCTCCCATTTCACTTTATTTACACAGATGTTACAGACTTTTTTGGGGAGAGGGGGGCCCTGAGCTCAGAGCTCCAGTATAATTATTTCTCTTTCCCTCTCTAGTCAGCACTGGATTCTACTATTCTAATTTAAAATTGTATTTCCTTTAGAATCCAATAACCATCGTGATTTTAATAGTTTCCTATGGGAGATTTGTTAAAGAGCTCCAGAAAAACTTTGCTCCATTGCCTTTTCACTTTCCTTCAGTTTTTAATGACACTTTGTATTGATTAGCAACATGTTACTGAGCAAGAATTTGGATTGTCCAGAGGCTTTTAGTGAACCATAAACCTAGTGGACCAGACTCTCGGCTATAGCTGAGCAGTACCTGGCAGAATTATGTGGGTGCGTGTAAAGGCATCCTCATAAAGCTCACTTTTGTACTTTCTTAATGCTAGGGGTGCTGTGTGTAGAATGGGTTCCCAGGCATAAATTATAGCAATGAAACGGCAACGGAGGATTGGTGCAGTTTAGGACCCACACTCCCTCTATGCCAGCTGAAGGGAAGAGGGTGTTGTAGGAGCCTATAGCACCTGGTTGATCCTCCTGGGGCTGGGTATACTGGTATGTGTCCCAACATATTTTGATATTTGAAGTTCAATTCTTTCTCTTTGTAAGAGACACTTTGTGAGGGACACTAAAAACTTCAAGTATATAACCCTAATCTTTATAATGGCATGACATCAGGATTAATTGATTAGTATGTCATAAGCCCTCTTTAAAGGTGAACAAGTTAATATACAATGTACAGACTATTTCAACACTTTTGGGTCGGGTTTGGACAATTTTAATTTTCACCTTGGTCATGACACAGGCATATGTGCGCAGAGTGCGAAACTAAGGTCCCGGTCTCCCAAATGGTTCCATCTGTCTGGACTTACGTGTTCATGTAGAGATGAAGTCAGGGGGGCTCTGTGTGGGCAGAGGAGGGGTCTGTCTGCCTGGAACAGCTTGCAGGAGCAGCACCATATTGTGTGCAAAAGTATTGCATAGGTGCTGGAACTAGGGCTGCTGGGGGTGCTGCTGCACCTCCTGGCTTGAAGTGGTTTCCATTATATACAGGGTTTACAGTTTGATTCAGTGGCTCTCAGCACCCCTACTATACAAACTGTTCCAGCACCCTTGTTAATAGGCTCATCAAATTTTAAGAGGCAACATTTAATTGAGTCTACCAGGATCCAATAAGGGGCAGTTTTTTCCTTTCATTCTGTTTGCAGCTAGGCTTGAGCAAGGAAGAGACTGAGAATGTTCATGGTTGTGCTACTACCACATTTTGAGACTGTATCCCTCCCAGCCATGTTCTTTAGAGGGATACTTCAACTTGAAATGTAGGAAGTTTAAAAAAAAAAAAAAAGAGTTAAATTAGTTTCAGATACTGCCCTTGCTCTGAGTACCCCTGCCAACTTTTGTTTCCTTTTTCTTTTAAATTACATTGTTGTATTTTTATTTAAATATTTTTCTTTCTCTTATTACTGTATGAAAGAACCCCACAAATGGGGAAGGAATGACTTTGCTCTCATCCTCCCTTTTCTCCTCTATTGTTTGTAGCTGTAGTTTGTCTTCTGTCAGATTGTGCTATAACCACTTCAGGGAAGGGACCCTGTCTTCCTATGTGTCTGCACAGTTCCTAGAGCAACTGGACACTAATCATGATTGGGGCCTATTGCATTTCGTGGCGTCGCAACACCACCACATTTGAGGCATTCAGATTGTATAATGATGGATACAGTATAAGAACTGAGACATGCCCTTGTAACCCCGTGTCTTGGTTATTTTAATTCCTTACTAGTAGCGTTTCCAGTGCTGCTTCTGCATTACTTTTAGCTTGTTTGGAATGCAGCAGCACATTTACTCACTAGTTCAATTATCTTTTTGTGGCATCAGATGTATTCAAATTAATGAAGTAAAACTGCACTGTTTTTAAATCCAACAATCCTTTAATGCCTCCAGAGCCCTCACACAGCAGTGTCTGTTTTTGCTAGAATTGTTACATGCAATATCACAAAACAAGAATACTTTTTACTTTCACTTTCCAGGCCAGCCTATTTCTAACTCCCCCTGCAGTGCTGAACTAGTGAGGGAGGGGCAGTCATTATGGAGCTATCTGCAATCTTCAGTTGTTTTCTTTTTTTGACTCTATTGATTTTTATGCCTCTGTATTATTTGAAAAAGTCACCAATGTTCTACAAATGTAGATTAAAAAAATCTGCTCTGCTGTTTTTCTCTGTTTCACTTTCCTTCCCATACAGTTCACAGACTACCATCATACAGGGTTTGGGTGTCAGTAAAGGGACTTGCAGAAGTTGTTTCTTGGACAGTTTAATCTTATTATTTGTATGGGTGATTTTTTTTTTAAACCTGTCAATGAATGAATGATGAAATATATCATGGACGCTTAATTCTGCACTGATTGACACCCATGTAAAACCTTTTGCAACCAGTAAAATAAATAGACACCCACACATCTAATTGTATTGTCTAGTTTATTAATACCTCTGTCATATTGCTGGAGATCTCTCTGTTAACTGGAGAGGCAAAGCATAAAGAATATGTGCCCTAAACTACCTCTCCTCTATTAAGCAAAAGTAATGATATAGGACCAGATTCTGCCACCTTTACGGGGGCTGAGGTGCAGGTGCTACTCAACAAAAGGTGGCAAGTTTATCCCATAATAATTTCATTTGTAAACACAGCATGTGCTGTACAAGAATAAACCTATTCCAAAGCAAAGAAAGCACTATTAAGAATATCCTAAATGCGCTGATAAAAAGAGGGGTGAGAAGAGGAAATGCATAAAAAGCCAGTAACAAGCAGAATAACACACAGGAAGGGAGGCAGGAGTGTCTAAGAGTGGCCTCATGTTTTTAAAAGCCTTTCCCAAGTGCATGTTTTGATTATGTGAACCAAGATCCTTGGGCTAAAGGATCAAATCACCAATGGCAAAAAATAAAGTAAAAATGCAGTAACTAAGGGATCATTGCGCTGCTAAGGCCACAAAGCGAAATAAGGTAAGAATAAAAGTAAGACCATGGTCCCATAGATAAGTGCCACACGCAGTAAACTGGAGTTGATTGTGACCTTACTAAATGACCTCTTGGAATGTCCATTCAAAAGCTACTCCCAAGTGCCCAATGTTGTGTGTCATTGGGATCAAAGATCCTTCCTTGTGTAGATTTCAAATCGGCTGTAGTCAGTATATGTGTGTGTTCTTCCTCTGGAGGGAGACACAGGCCAGCTTTTGGCTTTGGGTTGCCTCTGTCCCTCTTTCTGCTGCAGTCACCCGGCGCGTTGGGTTTTCTCGCAGCAGCAATACAGCTGCTTCTTCAGTGGCTGCTGGGGCGAGAGGCAGCCCAGCCCGATCCTATTCAATACCATTTTACTCCAAAGCTCACCCAGGAGCCCCAGGTTTTCCTGGCTATGAATGGGCTCTCTCCCAGTCTGAAGGGATTTCATTCATTCATGAATTGGTCACAATAAAGAAAGGAGGGGAAATCTCCCTCAAGAGATTGGTTTTAAAGGGGAAACCAACTCCACGCTCATTTTTCTCCCAGCGATTGGCGTTCTAGGGAGTTGCAAAACTGGGTCCGAATGGATTTTTCGTTTCCTCTACTCATTTGTGTCTCTATTTATTTGTGTTAACCTGGCTGCTTTCCCCTTTCTTCTGAAGGGAAAGAAACGACACACCTGCTTGGTGCTTGGACCCGCACCCTTTTCTCCTGGGTGGTGACTGTGTGTGGGTGCTGGAGAAGAGAGAGAAGATCTAAGGCAGACATACAATTCAGCCCACGATGTGCATGGGGCTAGTTAGTCTCTCCGAAACTCTGACGGTAGGACTCCTGGAAAGGCTCCCAGCAATACAGCGGCAGCAGCACCGCCACATTATCTATTAACCGGACCTTAGTTCACAGCTCGGACGTAGCGGGGTCTGCAAGAAGGATCGAGGAGCTGGGGCAGCAGTGGGGAGATAAACATTGGGGAGGCAAGGACCATCTCCCGCCTCATCGGGACGTGCCTGGCTTGAATTTATTTAAAGCCCCACCAGCTGCCTCAGCTTGTCTAAAACAATCCCACCACAGCCAGCCAGCAATCTGGAGAAGTACGTGCGGGCTGATTTTTTCCCTGCAGGTGAATCTCTTACTCTCCAATTACCTTTCCCAAGAGGGAGAAGGAGCGAGGCGAGAGGGGGCAAAGTCTTGCTGTGTATTAAAAGCAGACCAATCAGAGGTGGAATAACAGAGGGGGACTGCTGCAGGACGCGGTTAATTTTGCTTCCTTCTCTGCTTGCAAGGCTGAATCGGGACCTTCACTGATCTGGCAAAGGGGCGAGAGCGGCGTTGTCCTTTTTTAGCAGATAAAACCTACATCTCTCCTTTATAAAAAATCCTTTGATCACTTTTAAATTGTGCACAAGAAACACCCCCCCAACCTCTCCCTCCAAAGCCCCCTCTCCCCCCTGCACCTGCTTGCCGGATCCCTGTTTTATTTCAAGATAAAATCCGAGAGGAGGGGGGGAAACCCCCACACAGCAAATTTAAAACACACACCCCCCCTGAACAAATTCATGCCAGTGGATGCCGGAGGAGGATTGGGATTTTGTAAGCGATGCAAGTGCGATAAGGCTGGAGTTTCCCCCCGGAACCTGAAGGAGGATCGCTAGGTGTTTCCAAAAGGAAGCGGGGCTGCAGGTAGGTGAGAAGGTGCCAGCTGTCTCCAGATGTGACAGGGCTGAGGCAGCTGCAGCTCCTGCTCCCAGCTCTCAGGTTCCCTCCCCTCCTCCCACATACAGTTTTGTTGTTGTGCGGGTTTCGGGTGAGTGTAAAGGGAGATCCCCCACTCTGTTAAACTGTGGCGAGCTCCCGGCCCTCGTTTTGTCTTGTCTGGACCCTTGGTGAAGAGAGATGCGGGAAGTATCCAGTCAGTCACTGTAACATCCGATCAGAGCTGGGCGAGGAAACAGGTAGAGGGGAGAAGTTGTAGTGAATTGGGGGGAGGAGAGACGAGGGTGAGGAAAGGTATTTAAGTGAGTCGATTATTCCAAGCCCTCCTCCCCGGTACAAAAAAGTTCAAGAAAAGCCTGTTTTGATTAAAGAACTGTTTTAAATTTCACTCCACTTTCCAGTTCAGTTCTGGTTTGTAAACTTACTGGACTCCTGATAAATAGCCCAGTGATGCACTAATATGGATCAATGAGATGTGTCAGGTCACTTCTTTGAATTCTCCACATTCTGTCCATTTTTGATTATTTAATCCTCCTCATTTCTGCAAAACGGTGGACGTTTTAGTAAGACTATCGGGTTCTCTACGTAACTATTTTCATAAAGAGCGCGGCTGATAACTTCCAGAGCCCCATATATTGGGAGATGTATTTTGTTTGGAGACAGATCACTCTATTGGATGGCTTAAGGGAGAGGTTAAAGAATGAATCGTTTGAGGAATAGTTTAAAAATGGTCTATATAACGTATGATTTATGACTTCAGTTCTTTTTCTGTAAATGTTCCCCAAATCGTGGTATCTAACCTTAGACATTTCTTGCCCATATGTTTTGCTTGTTTCTTTCCATTTCAATAAACTAGTGTAACGGCTCAATAGCGTTTTATCTGTATTCTGTTTCATAGTGGGAAGGTTTTTTCCCTCCCAGCCCCTCCACCCCATTGTACTTTTGCAAGACAGTTTTTTAAAATATCTGCTTTATTTCCCTGTAAAGCTAACTGTGGGATTAGACGCACAGGCTGTATATGCAAAGCACAAAGAGCAGCAGCTTTCAGTGCCCTGCTAGGAGCAGAGTTGTCATGCTTTTCTCTTTTATTCCTCATCCTTACCAGGAGCTTCAACAACTGCCTGAAGAACTTTGAATTAATATATATGTGTAGTTACAACGGTCTCTTTCCACTCTTTTGCTTGGAGAGTATTAATTTGTTTTAAAAAACAACTGTATAACCCTCCACAATAATAAATTTTGGCTTTGTAATTAAGAAATCTTGCTTTGACCCCTGAAGAACTGTTAATTTAAATAATAAACAAATGCAGCCCCATAAAATATCCAGGGTGTTAGCGTCTTCTGACAGCACTGTATAAATTTAAATGACTATTGACTAAATGATAATTATCTAGTTGCTCTTTCTTACCACCTGCTTTTAGACATTAACATTCAGACTGGTACCAATTTAACATTTTAAAGCTACTTTATTAGGTGATACAAGCAAATTAAAAATAGTAATGTAAGATTCCTTTATGGAGCATAACATAAAAACCTAAACAAACTAAATAGTCTGGTCCCACCAGGAAATATGGCTTTAGATAAACTTGAGAAACATGACCTACTTCTAAGACAATTTTTAAAAGGGGCACAAAGGATTTATTTATTATACTTGTTCTGTCGCAGTAACGTTCCAGTCACTTTACACTGTGAATATACCTATGTATCTAATCTTAATAATTTCATAATTGTTCAAGTAACAGTGGTAAAATAATTCAGCTAAAACTGAGTTTTAGCTGATTACTTACACAGCTTTGATATTGTATTGGTGATGTTCACCTGAGCATCTATTTTTTTCAGTTTATTGCTGCCCTGATTTCCCAAGCTACAATACTGTTCTTGCTGTAAACGTAAACTATTTCAGTACCATGATTTTAGTGAAGAGGGGACTACAGTGATCACTCATTTTGGATTAGATCAGTCTTGATATTCACAACATATTTGGGATTCAGTATATATATTATCTGAGCAGGAGGCTTTTGAAAGAATGAATTTAGATATGCTGTCTAGTTGATAGGTGATTTTGAAATAAAATCTTGATTCCTGTCATACTGTTTTAATCAGCAAATGAGAGCTAATCTAGCACTTTATCATGTATTTGACATATAGTGTAACGTTTTTGCACGTCTCTTCAAGAGCACCAGGGGATTTCACTTTACACCTAGGCAAAAGTCATGCAGTTGATAGTGCTAGTGGGGACCATAAGCAGAATTAGTGGAGTTGAGAATTGTAATATGTATGTAGACAGATAATACTAGAGAGATTCAGTTACAATGGCAAATTGCAGATTGAAGATTCATTGAGCCTCATTTAGATTTATGCTAAAGCAGGTAGGCCACCGCATTGCTTTGAGATTGCACAACAGCATTTAGTAGCCATCAACTTTCATAATTTAATCAGTGGAGCTGTTTTCAAGAATGAATACATTGGTTTTCCTTTTATCTATTAAGTGAAAGAGACTTCTGCTAAAGGAGCTCTTTGCTAACAGTCTGTGTAGCTTCTGGTGGGCACAAAATATCTAGGCATTTTTCAAATATGAGTGTCACCACATTTACATGTAATATTTAATGGTGTAATCCTATCTTTCTTCTGGAATGTATTATTGCCTACTAGTAACTGTGTAAAGCATAATAGTCAATTAGAAGAAGATTAATGCTACATAATTATGTGTTAGGTTTGACTACAGGTAATAGTAAAATACTAAACATTTGTCAATCTCATGCACTTATCAGTGACTGTGGAAACTAGGAAATCATATAATTTACTAGTCATATATAAAATGTGACCATTGTTTTGAAATTTTATTTTGAATGATAGGTCTATCAGTGAGCAAACAGTTGTATGCCTCTCTTTTAAGTTGTGCTGTATTTTATTAGAAGTGCCTCATTAAGTCACATTATTCTGCAGCTGCTTGTTCATTGAAAATTCAGATAAGAACAGGGAACTTTATTCAGCACTGCAGCACTGTGTGTGTATGTGTGTGTTTGCTAAATACTAAAAGTTGAGGGAGGAAAAAAAATCTTCCAAAATCGCCATAATAGGAACATCAAGCATACTCTTTTCTTGTGATCTATGGATGGCATTTACAAATGCAATTCATCAATGTATTTATTAATCAAATATCATCAAAACAAAGAAAATAAATTAAAGCAAACAGACTGCATGCCACTGTGAAGGGCAAAGAAACTAAGGACTGCGAAAACCAATTAATTAATGTTGGTTCTCATATTTACAATCTATATTTAGTCATCACATTTAAATGAAAGGCAGTACTGACATGTCCACTGTCTCATAGCCATTGATTTTGTAAAATTGTGTAATTCTGCTGGAAATGGCATTTCATTTGAAAATACAGGTACTCCATTCCATTTTCCCTTTGAAATAGGGTTCTTAAAGAATGGAAATAAATGTTTGTGCTCTGATTGAGGGCCTTTTTGTTATATTCATCAGCTTCTTCTGGATATTAAAAAATACAAACCTATTCTTTGCATTTTCAAATAATGGGGCAGCTTGTCAGCCGGTGTAAATTGTCATAGCTCCATTGGAAGCTATGACAATTTATACCAGCTGAGGATCTGTCCCATTATCTCTAGATATAGAACATCGTTAAATTTTCACTTTATTTCTGAGGATATTTTAGGTAAAAAAATGTAAATGCAAACAGTTCCATTTTGGTTTCCTTTGTAGAGATGTATCTGTTTATTATTGTTGCTTACTGGCTGTACAATATGGAGTTCAATTTATAGAGCGTTTAAACATTAAACTAACCTATATGTAATACATTTTAAGCATAAACCTCTATAGTCGAACACAAACTCCAAGCTCATTTAAAAAGAGAGGACTGCCCGTGGAGCTGTGCCAGTTTACTCCAGCAGAGTATCTGGCCCAAGTATTTTGTTTTGTAAATCACAGAAATATGTTTGTATTTAAAAACCCAAGTTAGGTTTGCAAAACCCAGCTACATCCAATAGGCAGACATAATGTCAGCTGGTAGCCACATTGCAAATGAGACCTTAATTACTTGGGAATATGGTGAATGGTGACATCACCAATAACAATCATTTCATTTGGCTTGTAGCCATTTCCTTGTGTTAGATAAAGCACAGTAAAGCTGGGATTTCTATGCTCTAATTCTGCACCTGGCCATCTCCAGCTATCTTTTTATCACTATGTACAGTCAGTTGTCTATCAAAGGAAAACAACAAAATAATCATGTCAGCCGAAAGCACTCTTCCATAACAGCATCGCTTTCTCACTTCCACAGATATACAATTCAATTCATTTTTATATAGCTCCCTTCCTGAAACGTATTTCCAAAAACACTTTGGAGAGAGAAAATAATAATGTGATCATGCTTCACAGTAGTAATTATGGTGGGACACTGTACACTTAGATAAAATGGAGACAAGTAGCCAAACACGCTTTCTTAGCTTTTTCTTCTTTTCTGGTACATCAGAATAGTTTTCTGCAGAATGCTTTGCAACTGTAGCTGGTGATGGATGTAAGATTTGTCATGCGGTTTATGGAAAATGTTTTCTATGGACTTGATCCTGCAGACCTTTATTCATGCTAGCAGATTGCTCACATGAGTAAGCAAGAACAGATCTTTTATTTTAAGCAATATGGAACCAGTCACCTATATAAATGCATGTGTGTGAGCTGGGAAGAGGGTTAGTTAACCTCCTGTTATAAGGTTATCAAACCTCATAATGGCTACTATGTTAATAGAGTTTCTGGTAGCTGCAGTGGACATGTTATTTTTGACCCTCATAATGTGAATCACGAATATAAGTCTGTTAACACCACTGTGCCATTGTATATAGTCTTTTGTCTTATGAGAATCTTATTTAACAATGCCAAGGAAAGGACAAACTATGAACTATAATGTGCAACAATACTGACAGATTTTTGGAAAGGTGGACAATGAG